CCCCCCTTTGATAAATACACACAATCGCTGAAAGAGACTAGAGAGAGATGACATCAGAGAGGATGTAGGGTAGAACTGTTAAACCATTTCCTTGGCTGTCCTTTCCCCACAGAAATTCTTCTGCTGTCATTTCAAACTAAAGGATAAAATTACTCATGAAAGTTTCCTAAGTAAACTGATTAAACACAGGATAAAAGAGATCCTTTTTTTTTTGTATTTGTAATTTACTAAGGAACAAAAAGCAGAGAGTAAAGAAAAATCAGTGCTTGGTTTGTGCAATGTTGGGATGTATACATTACAACTTTTATTTTAACTCTGTATCATTTCTGAACAAATTAAAACTTTGGCACTTTTAATTTGTTCGGAAATGATACAGAGTTAATAATGTGCAATTAAGATGCAAAATGTATTGATGCCAAATTGTTCCGAGTGGTTAAAATAAAAAGAGATATTTTTCCAACCTGGAGGAACGTGAATTAAAACAGCAAATGTTGCATGCAAGCTGCTAAGTAAAATGCAACTGCACATAAATTCAACTGCAAACGTATATTACAGTCTTTGAGTTATCTAGGAATCATGTGACGGCAGCATATAATATTGTGAAAACATTAACTGAATGGGTCCGTATCTTTAGAAAGGCAAATATTGTTGAGAGTCAGCAATAAAGAAAATAATATTATCAATGTCATAATGTCTTTATACAATATATGAACCGACCTTACACAGAATATTGTATCACTGGATTCATCTGACTGAACTGGGAAAAAGTCCAGAAAAGGGCTAGCAAAATGATCAAAAAGAATTCTGTGATAAAAACTTAAAACATTCGCAGGTTTTTAGCTTGGTAAAGAAAAGGCAAGAGTTGGAGCATTCCGTACTAATTATGGTTTACAAGTAGGCTTCAAAGGCAGCTCATAGATACATGTGTGATATAGAGACACTAGATAGGTTTGGGACCTCCAGTGAAACTCAGCTGTGGAAGATTCTGCACAGACAACAGGAGTTATTCCTTATGTAGTGCACTGTTAGCTTGAGGCATTTTTCTGCAGATATAATGGCTATATTTTGGATATCATAGCATGAGGCAGCCCTTAAGCCAATCTTGACTGATATGGGAAACCTAGGGAGGTTCAGTTCTAGGAGAGAGGGAGACCACCAGGAAATCCTATATTTAGCATCAGAAGAGACATCTTGGAAGAAGGAAGTGGCAACTTATTTCTGTCTTAGTGTCCTTAAGCCCCCAGGACTCAAGCTCAACTTGAGTAAATGTTATCTTTTATTTAACTGGACAATTTTAAAAGACATAGATAACAGTATGAATAGCTACCTAGATAAGATGGCTATATATTACTTCCACTAATAGAATCAGTAAGTTACCAGTCACTGGAAACATTACTGGAAGGGTGATATTATATTTAAATTTGAGGGGTTATCAGTTGCTATCTGGCTGGCTTCTGTGGGAACAGAAAAAAATAGGAGGTAAGTGGATTCATGGTTAAACATTCATGTAAGGGATGCTCTATTTATTATTAAAATCAATTGAATTCTATCTTGTACATAAGAAAACTTAGTAAGTTAAAACATACACAGTAAAAATCAAATTATGCTTCAAATAAACTAATTTAGCTGGAACAGGACCATAATCCATACAATAACAAATACAAGTTATTGTATGGATTATGGTCCTGTTCCAGCTGAATTAGTTTATCAGTAAATAACAATCCAAAATAAAACTATACAGACAATTATGCATTAAATGCCTTCCAGAAAAGCTCCACTTTTAACATTTTCTGGAACACCATTAAGGATGAAGCAAATCTAATTATAGGAGACCATTCTATAGGGCCAGGGCTCTAACAGATAAACAGCACCTCCTAGTCTAGGCTTCCTTCACTTCGTGGAAGTGGGTAATAATTGATACCTGTTTCTAGGAGAAGCCTACTGGATGGATTGACTCCAGTGGGCCATTGCATTCCATGCTAATTATGTTAATGAATACCTGGCTACAGCCTCAACCTTCTTATAGAATAGTATGTGTGAATCCAGGAGGTCCCTAAGTTTAGCTTCCCACTCAAGAGAAAATTCTGGAGCATAGCAAGAACTGCAAGGATCAAAGTAGCTCTATTATTTATTTATTTAGTGTATGCCATCTCATACATGGACTTACATTAAATACTAACATTTAGCCTAAGTTAAAAGCACTTTAAAATATAAATATTAAAAAGATTTAAATTCAAATACCAGTGTCTAGGCCATCTAACCAC